TATCATGAAAAGTTTCTCTAAACAAGCTATTAACCTAACCATCTGAATCAACGACGTAACTCTAAACACCTGCAAAAGATTCCTGAGGCTTTTAAAAACTCCCAGCCTTGTTCATTACTCAAAACCGCAATCATGGGTAAGACTGCCGACCTGACTGCTGTCCAGAAGGCCATCATTGACACCCTCAAGCAAGAGGGTAAGACACAGAAAGAAATTGCTGAACGAATAGGCTGTTCCCAGAGTGCTGTATCAAGGCACCTCAGTGGGAAGTCTGTGGGAAGGGAAAAGTGTGGCAGAAAACGCTGCACAACGAGAAGAGGTGACCGGACCCTGAGGAGGATTGTGGAGAAGGGCCGATTCCAGACCTTGGGGGACCTGCGGAAGCAGTGGACTGAGCCTGGAGTAGAAACATCAAGAGCCACCGTGCACAGGCGTGTGCAGGAAATGGGCTACAGGTGCCGCATTCCCCAGGTCAAGCCACTTTTGAACAAGAGACTGCGTCAGAAGCATCTCGCCTGGGACTGCTGCTGAGTGGTCCAAAGTTATGTTCTCTGATTACAGTAAATTTTGCATTTCCTTTGGAAATCAAGGTCCCAGAGTCTGGAGGAAGAGAGGAGACATATAATTCACATTGCTTGAGGCCCAGTGTCAAGTTTCCACAGTCACTGGGGTGTCATGTCATCTGCTGGTGTTGGTCCACTGTATTTTATCAAGTGCAGGGTCAATGCAGCTAGCTATCAGGAGATTTTGGAGCACTTCATGCTTCCATCTGCTGAAAAGCTTTATGGAGATGAAGATTTCATTTTTCAGCACGACCTGGCACCTGCTCACAGTGCCAAAACCACTGGTAAATGGTTTACTGACCATGGTATTACTGTGCTCAATTGCCCTGCCAACTCTCCTGACCTGAACCCCATAGAGAACCTGTGGGATATTGTGAAGAGAAAGTTGAGAGACGCAAGACCCAACACTCTGGATGAGCTTAAGGCCGCTATCGAAGCATCCTGGGCCTCCATATCACCTCAGCAGAGCCACAGGCTGATTGCCTCCATGCCACGCCGCATTGAAGCAGTCATTCATGCAAAAGGATTCCCGACCAAGTATTGAGGGCATAACTGAACATGATTATTTGAAGGTTGGCGTTTTTTTGTATTAAAAACACTTGTCTTTCATTGGTGGGATGAAATATGCTAATTTTTTGGGACAGGCATTTTGGGTTTTCATGAGCTGTATGCCACAATCATCAGTATTAAAACAATTAAAGACCTGAAATATTTCATTTGGTGTGCAATGAATCTGAAATATATAAGTTTCATTTTTATCATTACATTATGGAAAATAATGACCTTTATCACAATATGCTAATTTTTTGAGAAGGACCTGTATAGTCCTTTAGTAATGCCTTGATTTTTTCCGCCCAATCAGTGTGGCCCTTGAGATACGCCTTCCTTTGGGAACGCCTATTCATCTGCAGAGATACCTACTTGAAATTAGTCATTTTGAGCCTCAACTTCTTCATAAAGGCTTCTTTTTGATGGACGGTCTGAAGCCGTCTTAAATGACTCATCTTTAAGAAACCATTGTTAAATGTTGCAATGTTTGGTAGTTTATCATATATCATCATATTTTAGAACCTGATCCTGTGTTTGTAGTCTTTAAAACTAGAACAGAAAACTTTTAGGGCCCTCTTTCAGAATGTGACAACTCTAATGACTGTCACTCTACAGTAGTGTGGCCCTGTCCACACTACTGTAGAGTTTTTACAAAACAAGAGTTTCTGCTGTTTGCTTCTCCCATCCACACACAAAGCTTTTAGTGAAATGCTTTCTAAACTGGAAACAATAAAAAATAGGTGTCTTTATGTGGACGGGAAAAGCAGAAGTCCTCGGATTCAATGACGTAACAGTCCCTAGAAGCCACTAACAGCTAAAGATTTGTTTTTTAAGTTTTTTTTTCCTTGCTTTTTCCTGATTTTGTCCCCAAAACACTTTATGTGCTGAAAACATTAATAGCTGAGAGGAAAATGTAAAAGGTATCAAGGAAAGAGTAAAATAATAAGTTATGGGAGAATCATCAGCCAAGCTGAACATGTTATTTCTTTGTACTTTGATGTGGTTATCATCAACGTTCTTGCCATCTAGTGGTGCGACATGGGTCATTCAATATTTTTGTAAGAATTGTGTCAATGAAGAAAATAATATGAATTTAGAAAAACATATCTGGAGTAGAGTAGACAGCACCGAAATCCAAATGAAGGAAAAAAACCCTTCTCACCTAACAAAGTAAATGAGCCCATTGAGGGTGACGGTTTTTGGAGTAAAGGACCATGGGGGCAGTTGTCCACAGTTGACCAAGCTCCAGTGGTTTGTGTCGGTGTCGTAGCTCTGGATGGCCATCGTGTCCTCGCTCGTCAGAGAGCCGATAGCATACAGGCGTCCGTTGCATGCGGTGGTGGAGCAGTTGTCCATGGGATGCAGCATGGCTGGCAGGGCCTCCCAGCAGTCCAGAGCTTGATCATAGCGTTCCGTGCTGTCCAACGCCACCACGTATAGCTGTCCTTTAAGCACACAGGAGCTGTGATACTCACGGGCCTTCAGCATGGGGGACACCTCAGTCCATTCATTCACACTGGACTTGTAGCGCCACACACCATCGTAGAGGCGGGAGCCATCAGAGCCACCTACAGAACACAGATACTTATACTTACTCTTCATGGTCAACACTGTTCACTAATCACTTATTAGAGTGGTTGGGATCGTTGTAGAGAGGATCAACTAAAGTGCATCACGGTGAAGAGCACTCTGGGTGTGTCTAAAATACAAGAACATCAACCTGTCATCAATATCAGGCAATTCATGCTTTCAAATATACCATACCATACCATACCAGTTTATTTCTAAAGTACTTAAAATACAACAAGCAGCCGTCCGAAGTGATGTACAAAATTAAAAACAAACAAAAAACAGTAAAACAATACAAAAACCTAAATATATATTTAAAAAATAATCAGAACATCATAAGTAAAAGAATACAACATTAAGACACAGATGCTGACTCACTCTAGGTTAAAAGCCAATGAAAAAAAAAGTGTTTTTAAACGAGTTTTAAAAACAAAAAGTGACGGGGCCTGCACAATCCTACACTATTGGTACACTGGTTCATTTAGGAATTTCAATATTGAATCTAAAAAAAAGTTAAGTCTGGTCCTCTGGACATTCAAAAAACAAAGCAAAGCAAAATAAACAAACAAAAAAAATGAAGAAACGTTTCATCTTTCATCCGAAAGACTTCTTCAGTCTGAGGTGCTGTATTCAGCTCAGTCTTATAAATAGCACCTTGTCAGAGTGGATCAACCAGTTTGCTGCTGACAACCAAAACCAGCTGCTCACATGATCAAGAAGGACCATCAGCCTAACGATGGATCATTAGCACCCTGATGGCTGTTTGCTATTCACAGGAGGCTGAGTGATACTAGCAATAACTGTCACGTTCGGGTTTTGGATTCAGAATAAGCCAGACACAGGAGTACAAAAAGAACAGTTTTTATTTATTTTTGCTGCCACTTGCTGGAGTCAGGATCAGGAGTGTTAACAGGTCCTCACAGGCTGTAGGGAGAGAGTCACCTGTCAACAGTGACGTCACTGCAGAACAGCTTCAGTACGTGGTTCGTGGAGGGGCAAGTCCAAGAGCAGGGTCCAGATAACAAAGCAGGGGTCATACACGGGGAAACAGAGAGCAGAAACCAGAGCCAAGTCGTAATCCGTAATCGTAGTCATGGAGGGAAAGCATAGTTGTTTACCGTGGTCTGATGTGAAGTCAAAAATCCAAAAGAGGGACGGGCAAACTTGTCTAGGCATGAAACTGTGAAGGCTTGAAAATCAGGGACCATCGAAGGTTTAATAATCTCACCCTGGCGGAGAGGGAGAATGGATCTTATAAAGGGTGCAGAGCAGGTGAACTAGATGAGCTGAAGCAGGTGAGTGGAATCAGGCCTGATTGCTGTGATAAACAAGGGAGGCGTGGCAAGGCCTGAAAGGAGTAGGCTTGAGCTGGATATGGGTGATAGGCATTACAAAGCAGGGGAAGAGGAACTATGGCATGAGGGCTGAAACAATAGCAGGAGGGAGACAGTGTGAGACAGGGGCCAATGGGGGGGTCAGCGGGGGCCACTGACCATTACATAGCCCCACCTTTAATGTCCGGCATCCTGACGGACCTCCAGAAAAAGAGAAAAAAATAAAAGCTAGCAAGAACCGGGTGGGTGGAGGAGGTCCAGAGGTGGGCAAGAGCACTGGGTGAGTGGACAGGGTATTGGAGGAGGGCAGAAAACAGATTGGTAACCAGAAGGGCAGTCCAGAGCTGTTCCAGGGCTCCGGTGGGCAGCCATGAGGTTGTCCAGCAATTTGTAATGTCCATGGTGAAAGCCCGGGCGACCCTCCAATATCTTGCAATGGGTCCTGTAGAGCTGCAGCAGGTGGCGTAGAGGCCTGGGGCTGTGAAGCAGGTGGCATGGAGGCCTGGGGCTGCAGCAGGTGATGTGGGGTCCTGTGGGGCTGCAGCAGGTGACGTGGGGTCCTGTGGGGCTGCAGCAGGTGACGTGGGGTCCTGTGGGGCTGCAGCAGGCTTCGTGGTCAGAGCTGCAGCAGGCTTCGTGGTCAGAGCTGCAGCAGGCGATGGGGTCAGAGCTGCAGCAGGCGATGGGGTCAGAGCTGCAGCAGGCTTGAAAGTTGTGTTTTATAACCAATACTGGACCTGCTGTAGGCAAACTCTCTGGGGTTGGTATGCAAAATTTTGCACAGAACAAGGTCTGAAAAATCTGTAACTGAGTGTCCAGACGTATTAGGGAGCTCTCAACCCCTGAGAGCCACTCCTCTCTCAAACCATCAATTTTCTCTATCCAGGATGTGAACATCTTCATCCCTGAACGAGTGACCGCTGACCTGGAGATGGGTGTAGACCGCAGATTCCTGGCCTGATGGTGTTGCTCTTCTGTGCTGGGCCATCCTTTTGGCCAGTGGCTGTTTAGTTTCCCCGATGTAAGACTGATCACAGCCCTCCTGACACTAAACAGCATACACAATATTACTCTGTTTGTGCCGGGAGACTGGATCTTTGGGATGAACCAGTCTTTGCCGTAATGTATTTTAGGGTTTAAAAGCCACTGGGACGTTATGTTGAGAAAATAAATGTGTCAGTTTCTCTGATACTCCCGCAACATACATAATGACCACTGGTCTGGGTTTGGATGCTTCCTTTTCACCTGATGGCTGACTGGAGTCCTGTTTGGGTTTCTTCTCTGTTTTCAGGAAGGCCCAGTTAGGATATCCACATTGCTCTAGAGCCTGTCTTGTGTGGGATTTTTCTTTCTGCCTGGCTCCTGAGTTAGTGGGGACGCTGTCTGCTCTGTGGTACAGAGTCCTGATGACTCCTAACTTGTGCTCCAAAGGGTGATGGGAGTCAAACTGCAAATACTGGTCTGTGTGGGTGGGTTTGCAGAACACCTCAGTTTGCAAATGTTCTATATCAGAGACTGAGACCCCACAGTCCAAGAAAGCCAGCCTGCCATTGTTTACATCTTCTTGTGTGAACTTGATGTATTTATCCAGAGTTGATGTGGTCAGTAAAATGTTGGACTTCCTGAGATTTAATTTGAACCCAGATGTCATCAACATACCTGAACCAATGACTTTGTGGTGTCCCTGAAAAGGACGTCAAGGCTCTCTTTCCTACCTCCTCCACGTACAGGTTGGCAACAATAAGAGAAACTGGAGACCCCATAGCACACGTATCAATCAACCTTTATTTATACAGGTAAATCCCATATAAATAAAGGTTGATTGATAGGCGTCCTATGTTTTGCCTATAATATTGCTCCCCATATGTGAAGCAGGTTGACTGCAGGCACAGTTTCAAGAGTTGACACAGTTCTGTGGAAAGTGTGGTCCTACTGCTCAGAGTGGTGTCTGATTTTAACCTTAAACTGACCACCTCTACTGCCTCATCAACAGGAATGCACGTAAAGCGTGATGTGACATCAAAATTGTTTGTCATTGTTTCATCAGTCTCCATGATGACATCCCTCACCTTATCCACAAAGTCCATGGTGTTCTGTATGTGGTGTTCTGAGCTGCCAACTAAAGGGATGAGTACAGACACCAGATATTTGGAAACATTGTAAGTGACTGAGAGTTAATTATGCTAACAATTGGTCTTAAAGGTACACACTGTTTGTGGATTTTAGGTAAACCATACAGACTAGGTGTGGCCTCCCCTGGGTACAGTCTGTGGTACAGAATACGGTCAATAGCCTTGTCCTGCTCCAAAATTTTCAGGCAATCTGTATTTGCAGTTTGATTCCCATCACCCTTTGGAGCACAAGTTATGAGTCATCAGGACTCTGTTCCACAGAGCAGACAGCGTCCTCACTAACTCAGGAGCCAGGCAGAATGAGGAATCCCACACAAGACAGGCTCTAGAGCAATGTGGATATCCTAATTGGGCCTTACTGAAAGCAGAGAAGAAACACAAACAGGACTCCAGTCAGCCATCAGGTGAAAAGGAGGAACCCAAACCAGTGATCATTCCGTATGTTACAGGAGTATCAGAGAAACTGAGATGTTTATTTTCTAGTTTTGTGAACTAAAAGGCAGTAGAACGTTACAGTATAATACGTGATTTTGTGAATGTATTTATCAGACGTAAAAGTTTATATACCTGACTTTTTTCGCCGGGGCGCGCGTGGAAGGGGCCCGGGAACGTTGGCAACTTGCTAACCGGAAGTGGTCTGAGAGCGTTATAAACACGCGAAACGCTATTTTCTCCCTAAAAATAATAATCGTCCGGTTGATTTAAAGCACATGCATAAATTTTTCGTTTGATTATTGCCTAAATTTTAAGATCCGACATGGTTGATTTTACCCTCACGTGAAAATTGTTGCATCACTTTTTTACGATACCTTCAGATGAAAAATAAAAGGTTCTCCTGTGGTACCCAGCAACCTTAATAATACATGTGGAAGACTATATTATAGTGCATTAATGGAGTGTGATGCTCCAATCTTGGCATGAATGGTTAGGCCTACGGATGTCTGGGTGTCATGCCCGTCGTGTTTTCCTGAACGCGTTAAAAATTGTACATCCGGACAGCGTCGACGGGTGTTGGGCGTATGACAGTTCGATAAACCTTGTCGGGTTTGTCAAGGTTTGATAAACTCCATCGAGTTTGTCGGAGTTTGATAGGCTCTATGATGTTTGGAGTGCCTGTGGGGGGTCCTGATATGCCCCTCGAAAAAGACGGCATCCTCGGGGTGCTTTGAACGATTAGCGTCACCTAAGGTCTGCATTTGAATGCACTGTTCAACAGCGCAACGGTAAACGACATGTTGATTGCAGCTGTGCTGTTTGAAATGAGAGTATCCTTAAAATGAACACCCCTTGATATACAAAGTATGAAGTCAAAGAGTGACATGATGAAGAGTGATATGCAGAGGTCCAGGAAGACCTGTAGAACATTGTGAAGTTATTAGAGTAGAATAGGGTTAGGTTAGTTTTTAGAATAGGCAGTTGAGGGACATTTAGAAATTTTGTTTTAAAGGAAAATAAGTAAAATGTGTTGTATATGTTTGTAGCCTTGGAATGCTGACAAAAATATAGTGTATGTGTGTGGGTTGTTGTTGTTATTGTTAAGCTAACTGATTTATCTAGTCAAAACAAA